GGAGAACAGAAAAGCTGTAAAGCCTATAAATGGACATGCTGACTGGGCTGCGTGTGCAGGGTGCTGACCTCTGCGGTCTGAGGGTCTTCCACTTGTCTGCCGGGCTCCGGGCCTGGGCAGCACGCTGGGTGGTCAGGGGGCTGCTTCCTCCCCGCCGGCTCTGGGATGGAGCTCCCGTTGGGAAGGTGGAGGTGGTGGGAATTCCAGTCAGGCCTGGCATTCCACCAGCGCTGCTGCAGAGCGCACTTGTGATTCAGAGATCTCCTCAAGCCTTCCCAAAACAGCTTTCCTTAATCCACTGACAAACAGGCCACAGAGCAAACAGCTCCAGGCACAGCTCACCCTTTACTTCAAATATTGAGCTATTTAAAGCCACTTCAAACTGGGCCTCACGCCTATTAATTACCAGGAAAAATGCAGGAATACAGAGAGTATCTGCCTATAAATAGATTTTACATTGTGCAGTCAAAACAATACAGTTACGTCCAGAGTGTTTGTGTATGTCTGTTTACATAAAGCTAGATTTGTGTGTAATATTCAGTTTACAGTACAAACACCAAATCATGCATGCCTGTAAGTTATAATATATTGTGTCTAATTTTTCCGTTCTGGAATTGCGTTTAATAATTGGGCTTTATAACACTGACTCCATTGCATTCTAATGGGGTACAAAACAAGTTCAAAAATGAATGAGAGCAACACCTATCAAGGGAGTCTTTCTGGAAATGAAGGTAGGCTTGATTAGAAGGTGAAAGCAATCAGGGTCAAAAGAGAAATTGTACAGGCACAGCTCTTTGCTGATCCAAGACAAAGCTCTGTGTATGAAGCCATTTTTAACTACAGCTCAGTCAGCAGGGTCTCTATACTGTACATTCTGATTACAAACAGTTTCAAAAGCATAAAGTAAGTGAAACTGAAACTATAGTTAATGAATAAATAGAGTCCAGAATCGGAACAAAGAAGAACTGACCTGTCTTGTTTGTGACCAACCTGAAGGAGAAGATTAGGTAAAACTCCTCATCTCGTGGCTGAGATGCCTACATGTACATTGGAAGATATGGACATAGGCAAGTAGGGCAGTAATGCGGTATAAAAAAATGTAATTATTTTTGTTCCTCCGAAACATTTTTTAGTCACAGAGAGGGTGTGCATAAAGCTCATGTCTAATCGTCTTTTGATAGTATAGTTCGTTTTCCAATGTATTACTGTCTAGTAAAATTTGTCTTGTACAATTTGAGGAACATTTTTTCTTCTGATCTACAGGCTGAGAGAGTAATTCCTATGGATGCGTGTTAACTCCAGGACATTTGCTGGCAAGAAATCCACCTTCAGTCAGGAGATCACCTCGCTGAAGAGCCTCTGTGTACCTTCAGCTACGTTGTAAACTGACTGCTAACAATACAGCCAAATACTCATGCAGCACAGGGGACATGCAAATAAAGATTAAGTCCTAATGCCCGATGATGCAAACCCTTTTCACTGGCTGAAATTTTCCTTACAATTTGCCTGAACCCTGGCAAGTCTCACACACACAGCGAGCTGGGGTTCCGGGCAAGAGCCCGAGAGTGGATTCAAGGCAGTGACCGGGCCGTTTAGCCCTCGGAGTGATACTTGACAAACAAAATTGGAACCAGCTCGGAGAAGCAGTGGGGCTTGTCCAGTTGAACACATTCCTGCAGCCATGGCAGGAAGGTCAGGGAAAATGCAGCAGGCGTACCGAGTTGCTCATTCACCTGAAGCACAGCACGTCACGCCTGCTGACTTTGGCGAGGCGTGAGCCAGCCAGTCCACTCTGATGGCTTGTATACACACTGCTTGGTTCCACTCATTTATCTGCTGCATATTTTATATGCATGCAACAAAGAGCTGCTCAGGAAAAGAAAACAGAAAAATAGTCTGGGGAAGGGGAATGGGAACACAGTGTACCAGCAATGTATTCAACGCCGGATTTATTACGATTTGAAAAAAAACAAGTTTTTTTTTTGTAGGCACGTTACACGACTGTTTTCAACCGAACATCTTGCTGACCACTGAAATTGCGAAAGTCTCCTCAAACTAACACTGTAGCCCAGTAGGTGGCGCCCTTCCCTCGGGAGCAGTATCTGTGGTGCAGGTGGTGCCAATCCTGTGATGAGATATCATCAGTCCAACTGGGGAGATGATTTCTCAGTTCTGTGCTGCTCTGCTGTGCAGTGGGGCTGTAGGGTGTCCCCCCAGGTAGTGGGGGCTGCGCCTCATGCACCTCAGGGCTGGATGAACTGCCTCCCTTCCTATTGGTGCTTTGGGATCCTTTGACATGAACAGCACTGCGTGAATGCGCGGAAGAGATACTGATTATCTGTCCAATTATATTATCATCCAGGTGGGGCTGCACACTGGTGGTGGAGGGGATCCCCATTGCTTGTAAAGCGCTTTGAGTGGAGTGTCCAGAAAAGCGCTATATAAGTGTAAGCACATTTTTTTAATTATTACCCAAACATGTACTGTGATCCGAGTAGAAAAAGTCCATACCTGGGCCGTGCAGCTGATGGCCTGTCGTTTCTCCCCTGGGTGAGGGTTCCTTCAGGTTTGTCTGAATCGATGTTGGTACCCTTTGCCAGCAGCAATCAGACTACCTTGCTCAAAGGTGGAGCCCACAGTCCTGGAGCTCGGAGCCAACAGTCTTATTCCCTGTACTGTGCCGTTTCCTGTGTAGCCCATGGGAGAAGCACGTTAAAAAGTGCAGTTGTTCTTCAGCACTGCCGTGCCAGGGGTGTTGTCTTACACACTCTCCCATCTCTCACCTGCACCTCTCCTGAAATCGGGGCTCCAGCTGTAGGGTGGGGGGTGGGGGCTTCTTTGTCCCGAGCCAAACAGGAAGTCTGTGCTAGCCTGCAGATGTGAGAGTGTTTTAAGACCACGCCATCCCTGAGTGGATCTACATTTTCATCCTACAGGGCCGAGACAGACCCATCTCCCTTCTGAACTTGTTCGTTCTTGGCCTTAACTATTCTCCCAAGTGCTCTTTGCTCTGAATTGTTATTTTCTTTCCATTTTATGACTGGAAATGCTTTCTTTACTACAGCACGAGCACCAGCAGTAAAATAGCCATCAACACAATCTCCCCATACTAGACAGTTTTGATTTAAAACAGTCGTTGTCTCACATTTAAATAGATTAACTTTCTGTAGTTTATGTTTCATTAAGTGCTTTGAATTGTACAACCAGAAACTACAGTAGCACTGTTTTGTGGATGCGTACTGTTTAGGAAACATTAGATCTCACTCACTTTGTGGTTGAGGTCTACAACCTTTGAATACAGGATCAAGAAACAAGGAGTTTCAGGTACTATAAGGAAATGAACAAAGATTTTCGACTTAATTTTCAGCCTAATGTTTATCAGTAAATTGCTGCACCTCGGTAAGACTAAGCCATACAGCTGACGCATCAAATTTGATTGCGTCTTGATCTTGAAATGGAAAAAGCTGGAAAGACAAGCATGGCAATTTCATGTTCAGTTTCAAAGTTTTGCACTCAGACTGTCAGGGGGCTCATTAAAATAGCATTAAAATTACCTTAAATTGCCATGAACATCCTACGGTGATTTTCTGAAATCTCGCTAGCTTAAGAAACAGTGGAAAAATAACTGTCCTAAAGAGGAATACATCTTCTGCTGCACCCTATTTCTGTTGCTTCATCTCCTGCAGGAGCCAGTATTTCTGGATTCAGTCATTTTTTCCTCCGTGAAAGGAAATACGGATTGGTAAATTTTCTCGTGACACCAAGTGCTATCATCCACCTGAAATAATCCTTGTAAAGTCCGAGCTGCGTCTTGACCAAAACATCTGTAGCCCAGCTTGTACCCTTGCCATCTGTATTTATCTAAAGCCAACATTTTGCAGTCTGGGAACGAGGATATGCACTAGAAAATCCTTTGGATTAAAATATCGCATCTCCATATCCTCTGATATATAGACTCCCCTCAAAATGCATTCTATTGTCTGGATTTACCAACATGTTTGGGAAGGTGGAGGGAAACTGCAGAATTCTGTTCCTATTGAAGGTTAGATTGTTTCTGAAGCAGGTTGTACGGTCACTGCAGTCTGTATTTTTTAAAGACGTTGCATAATGGATGTCTGTGTAAATATTGGCATTATTGTAACTACTATAACCAGGCATTCCTGTAACAAAACCGCTTTGAACTTCCAGTTGTTTATGTCCGTGATATCCGTGTAACATCATCTCCCTGTTACTGTAAGCCTTGCAGTTGCCTGAAAAATCTGCAAGGAGAAATTTAAATTAATTCGATCTTTACAGTTCTAAAATGCATGTTAACACTGCACAAGGAACTCTGTCATCTTTGCTATGTTAATGGATATAGACACACATTTGTACATGTACACATGTTCATTTAAAAAAAAACAATTAAAACCCAAGAGGCTGACAACTGTTTAACAAAAAAAAACAACAGGGAAAAAAAAAGGAACTTTAGGCTGCTTGTTTTGGAGAGTCGCAGAGTTTTTATATAGCACTAATCCATCCTGCCCCATGTGACCTTTTCCTCAAGCAGTGTCCTGCCAGGTATATCATAAGAATTTGTATAAAATATTTCTATTTCAGACACAGTAGATGGTACTCTGTTTGCTTAAAAGAGGAACAGGTGTCAGCCAGTGAAAGCTGAGCAGACCTCCTCCCAGCTGGCTAGGATATAATCACATCAGCGCTGATTGCTTTCTTTAAAAAAAGAACTCAAAAGCACCACAGAGGAACCAGCTTCGCTGTCCTGCGTGTTTACTCGCCCAGCTCGAGAGTTTAGGGGATTCCTGTTAAACTGTAATTTATGATTCTTGACTTGAAACTGTAGGAGCAGCCCATGGAGTGAAAGCAAGCGAAGAGGGACGAACAGAGCTGGTGAGCACGGCAGATTTTTTTTTTTTAGCAATGTAAACGAACCTCAGGAAGCACTCGCTTTTCCATCTGCGCATTTTCCCACGTCGCCGGGTTTACGAGGAGTTTTCGTTGGAATGGCGAAATCAGCCCTCTGGAAGACAAGAGCGCGTCTCCCCGTGCACAGTGCAAACACACATACACACACACACTCACACACAAGAACGCCTGTCACAGGAAATCAGAGGACCGGCCCATGAAGGTGTACAGGCTCGCTCACAGCTGCTCTCCTGCTCTCGGCCGACCGGACGTACTTGCACACTCCACAGGCACTGGCTGCAGGGCCAGTGTGTGCAAACACGGGGCAGAGGAGAGCGGTGCGCTGAAGTACCCACTTGCAGCCCTTCTTAATTTAGTCAGCTGGGGCGCATGGGGGCCATAAGTCAAACCTACCTTAGCAGTCCCTGTAAATGAGTAGCGAACGCTGACGCCAGTGTGTGGCCATGCCAGGGTTTCTGGCACCGGTTTAATAGCGGATACACATCTCCACAGGTCTTTTAAAGAGCTGGGGCCATTTGAAAAATGTCCCCCAAAGCCCAATTATCCCAGCAGCTGCCGAGTTCCCGCCTGTTTCATAATCTCGTGGTGTTTTTTCATGTTTGTAAAGAGACCGGGCCAGACCACCTCCCAGCCTGTTTTGGTGAAATCAGACCCCCACCCCAGGCGAATCTCCCCCCCCTCTTCCCCTTTCCTGTCTGAAATCATACCTCTTTGCAGGTAGCAGAGGGCCGTATGAAAAAGGAGAAATTTGTTTCACTCTGGAGCGCGCCTTGTAAATAATGGTGAATTTAAGCTCTTTTACTGCAGCTTGGATTTCAAAAGCACCACCGGCAAACCTCTGCAGAGCTGAAACCGAAACCCCAGCCCTCTCCCGGTGGTGCTTCTGAGCACAGTCCCCCATGCCCTTGATCACAGTCTAGTTTGTCACAGGGGGCACCTATATAGAAAGGCCACCTGTCCATATGGATCGCCTGACCCCCCCCCCCTCCACAGACACGCACGGGTCAAGAATCTTCCTGAAATAAGAGCCACCTGCCCATTGTCCATATCTCATCCGCCGGTGATCTCGCACTTTCTAAACCCGCTGGTTATGCGCCTGTGGGAGAAGCTGTGAGCTTCACACTAGCAGGATTTTGAAGGCCTCAGCTCAGGGACCGACAGTGCAGGCCGATACCCAGGCAGGGGTACAGGGAGCCGAGGCCCCGCAGACTGGGGCTGCATCTCACTGACCTCACTGGAAAAGACCACCCAAGGGAAGGAAAACTAATCTGGTTATTCAGATTAAATCAGATCTTTCTGCAGTGCTTTTGGAATCTAATCACAGAAAAAAAACCGACATATAAAGCATTATGAATATACAGTACAAATGCCAGTTTTGAGCTATTCTTAATACAGTATTTAAAAATGTATTTACTTAGAAATTAGACTGCAGAGTAAATGCCTTTTATAAATGTCTTTAAAGCTGTTAATAGTTTTTTATCAGCCTCACTTTAAACATTTTAGATAACTCCCCTTCTCTCTTTTGGTTGATACTAGTTTCTGAGTGCGATACAGCTGGCTGGAGTTCAGAGTTTTAAATATAACCAAGGAAAAAATTGCCTGGACAATCTGAATAGTTCAGTGGAAACTCCTAACAAACAATCCTTAAAACTATTTAGTTGAACATACAGTAACTCATCTGTGTACATGTGAAAATGTTACTTTACAGAAGAGAGAGAAAATTTCAGTCCTTTTTTTCCTGAGAGTTAAAAAGCTGCACATCGCTGAGAACAATGAAATCAAACGAACAAGCAAATAATGAATACCCAGGAGCTAAAACTGGAAAAGTGGCATAATCTAGCAACTGCATTAATAAGCTAATGAAGTACTCAGAACCAAAATTAGATGCAATCCAACTGTATATTTTTCTACATTTAAGAAGGTACAAAGAGTCATCCTGTGTTGGTATAAAGCTGTTTATTCTGAATCTGTATGCAGTATATATATTATGATCTAGAAACAGGTAAAGGTTTATTCCTGCTGAAAGGAAAAGAAAAGAGACAATGTTTCAGCTGTGGAGCCCTCTTCAGTTCTCTCTTCTTTTCCTGTCAGTAGGAATAAATCTTTACCTGTTCCTTTGTAACCTACGCATGCTGACACAGCTCCCTACTCAAACCATCACAATCTAGAGCCCACAAAACGAAAGACTCCCAGAACATCGCTGATGCCATCATGGGTGGGAATTAACGTCAAAGCAAAAAAAGCGAAGCTCGGGGACAACACCAAGGTGTACAAACACAGGCTCCAGGACAGGACTGGAGAGCGGGCTGTCCACACCCAGCTCACAGCCCTGCACCAGGGCAAGTACTTCAGGGGTCCAGGCTTGAAACTCTGTTCAGGAAAGCCCAGAGTTCTCATTCCACTGATTAGCCGGCATGGGATTCGGCCGGACTGGAGGGACCAGAGCGATCCTCTTACTGTGAAAGAAGGGGCTGAATGTGGGAGAAAAGCCAACATCGGCTAGCTGTCTTGAGTCAGGCCCCTCGAATCGCACAAGTTCGCCCCAAGGAATGTCACACTCTAGGGCAGTGCAGTGCAGAGCTATGGAACAACAGGGAAAATAAAATACCTGCAGTGTATGTGCTGTACAGAAAAGAGTAAAACGTTCGGTATCCGCAGAGAGATTCAACAGGCGAGGCCACAGTAATCACCACCAGAGATCAGGGATATTTGTTACACAGGGATGCTTGTACACATGCAGCACACACATACATGACTCAGCCACTGTGCCTCTCCTCTGCCAGAGCGCGAAACAATCTACCCAGCCATGCTGTCAAAACACATACCCTGGCTTCTTTCAGGGAACAGCTGGATGAGATCCTAGGATCGATTAGCTAATAACACCCAACAAGCTAGATGGGCTAGATTCAACAAGGCAAAGCCTGAGGTAGGAGAAACTATGGTACTTTTGCTGTACAGAGACATTACTACAGCAATGATCTAAACATCTGCACCTCTAGCTCAATGTTGATGCCTGTTGATTACACTTAACCAAACTGCACTGGACAAACAGCACCAAGACCTGGAGAAGGCGGGGAAGACTCCAGTCCTCGTGCTGATAGTTCCTTCTTTTTACCGGCCATGGTACTGACCTCACAAATACTGGAGTGTGGCAGAGGTAGGTTGGCTTCATGGACATTAATGTACAACCTGATTTTACCTTTCCTGCTGCAGGAACACTAGATCGTTTACTCTTGAACCCCAAAGAACAGACACGGAGAACTCCACCACTTGCAGTTTGGATTTCATGGAGAAAAAAAAACCTTGAAAAGTGCAATCCGATGTGATGTTCAGACAAAAAGCCATCCCCATGAATATCCGTTTCAGAGGTAAAGACGGCAAAGACTGAAAATATCAGCAAGTGAGTTTGTTTCTCTTGGGCTGGGGTCACTATGGAGGGGATGAGTAGTTAATCTTTAAACCTTTACTCGGCGTAGACGTTCATTAAATCCTCATTAGAATAAGGATCCACAAGGCAAGTGAACATGAGACCTTGGGCAGATACAGGTAGGTGTAGAAGAAACAGAAAACCAGGGTTTGAAGACACGCAGACCAGGTGAGACAACGAACTGAACAGGCTGCTGGGTTGAGCAATCACAAGGGACATTCCTATTGCTTAGAACCGCTTCCATGCGCGTTCCAATGGCTGTGCAAACATCTGCGTCAGCAGATCCCTGACAAGGAGGCATCCCACACTGGACGTAACAACCGTGTGCACTCTCAGAACAGAGCTTTTCAAGTCCTCCCGTTTTCAAAGGGAAGGGACGGGGCTGAGGAGGGAAGACGCTGGGGCTTGTGTGAAAACAGACTCCCGTTCGGGATGACTAATGTGCAGCTGGTGTTAAGACAAGCTGTGGGCTCACTGGGGATGATCGCGGTTTCCTTGCGCGGGGAGAAGTTCCAGCACATTGCCTCCCACACCTGGAGGTGCTATGTTTGTGGTGATCCTTACAAGCAGACAGCATCCATGTCAGATCACAGCACTCACCCATGGAGAATAAAGCTGAGGCTCTTGCTTCAGCGTTTCCATGTAATCCACAGAAACTCAATACAATCGGGATCGGATTTCAAAAAACAGATGATCTAGGGCTTTGACTGCAATAATGCAAATAATTCTCTATGGGGGTTTCATTTTTACAACAAGGGTTAAGATTAATTAGAGGAGGGGGATACAAAAAAGGTTAAATAGTTTTGCTGCCAGCAGATTCCCTACATCGTCGAGAGGGGACCGCGTCATTCATGGAATGCGCACACATTTAAAAATTACTGATACGAGATGCACTGATGTGAAGCATGAAGTCCACATGGCTCAGAAATCTCGCACAGAGTTACAGAAAACAAGGCAGCTTCACCTCAGAATATGGTTCTGTCACTTCGGGGAAAAACAGCTCTACCAAAAATGGTGCAGACACGAAACAAATCCCTCTTCCTTCCTGCAGAATTGCAACCTATTCAGACATAGCCCTCGCTTGAAAACAATGCCATGGCCAGGCCAGAGTTCTGTGTGGCCGGAAGTAGATATCTTACCGTTTGGTGAAAAGGAGTTTTTCCACAATTTGTTCACCAAGACATGAATCAGTCTTCAGGCGGTTTCTTCTGCAAACGTGCAAACCAAACTGGAATGCAAGTAAACTGAGCACAGCCGTGATGCAACACCTGCCCCGAGAGGCACAGCTGGTAGTGGTTCTGCATTCATGTCCTGTATATAAATTAAATCGCACATGGTCTTAAAAACATCACTATTCTAGATCATAAACTTTTTTTTTTATCCCAGTTGCGTCATCAATTCCAGTCAATTGCCTCCCCAGTTTGTCCACAATTTATCCAACCAGCAGGAGCAGGGAGGCCTGCAGGAGAAGAATGGGTTTCCTCCAGGAGAGGGCATGTTATCAAGACTGCTCCAGAGGACGCATGAAAACGGCTGAATTGATTAAATAGGGCAAGATCAAAGTCAGTGCAGTACAGGGAGCTTATCAGCAGGCTGGCAGAAACAAGCCCACTGCAGATGGACCAGGTCGACACCTACGTACATTTGCTGCGTGACCTACGCTGTCAGATCAGTCATGCAGGCACCATTCACATCCTGCATGAATCACAGATCTGGCAATCACTGACGCAGATATACAAGTAGATATTCATCATCAGTCTTGAAGTTTCAATGGGCGAACCCCCAGATGTGCTTTTTTTTCCCATTTTATCCCAGGTTAGGCTGGTACTGCTCAACCTGGCGCAACATTTCTGGAAGCGACTGCTTCTGGACTCTGTAATGACAACGAAGTTGTTCTTTTAAAAAGAACACACACCCACTACTACAACAGCAATTAAAGAGCAGGAGGTCAGCTCATAATATTCAGCTCTGATAATTACAAACTGGCATTCAAGAAACTAAATGACCTCTGACTGGTGCTTACTGGAACTGTAATGGAGTGCATCTTAAAAGGTAACTTTCCCCAGCACTGTCACATCTAAAATACATACAACACAAAAATGAGTGTACAGTATGAAAATGGAAGACCTCACAGGCAAGATTCTTTTTATTGATAAGACAAAATTGGCTGGCAGAAGAGAAAGGCCAGAGTATTCCTCCCCTCTCCCTCTCTCTGACCTTTACAATGTTTCACTGATGCACAAACATCTCAGCAAACATTTACTGCACAACAGTGACTCAGCTTAGATTCACTGGGCGTTTGTTTATGCTGGACAAATGGTCGTAAACATTTTGTTTTCATTTTTGGAACACACCAAACAAAAACGGGACAACTGCAACCTCAGAATGTGTGAAACATTTCCCCCTTGATATGCCATAGCTTATATGGAGTGAACAGTGTGAGGAGGTGCCCAGATCTTTTTTGCAAAACTCTCAAGAGATCCTTTGGCATAGTAACCTTATACTACAACAGGGATCCTGTATGCAACGCAAAACAATACCAAAAGAATATTTGGAAAATGAACTCCATTCAGTAAATACTCTGTTTAACAGACTATTAGTGGTGAAGGGGTGTCAGTAAGTGCTGAATGTCCATTAAATCATTCATTCAAACAAATTACATTACGTGAGCTCCAAAACACTACTATATGAAAAAATACTTCCTGAATCTTTCTACTTATTTATTGAACAATTGCATTCAGCACACTGAAAGAAAACTGTTCCTGTGCCTTTTTTATCACAAATGCAGAAGCTCAAATGCTCTTTATATCGTGTGTCCTAAATATACTGCATGAAATCTGCTAAAACATACAGAACACAAAACACCCATCACAAGCATTGACCTGCCCCACCCAGGCACCCCGATAATTTTAAACCTACATTATGTACTATTTTTACCTTGTTTCATTCATTGTTTGTGCATTTCCCCGTTATTGCAGGTAAAGCTAGATATTTAGGATTTTACAGACAATATTATTCTTCAGTAAAATTTGACAGTTAAATCTGAAGTCCTGTAAAGTAAAGTCTGTTAAACTGAGGATTACAATACAATAATGTACTAGCCAAACATGACAAAGGTTTGCACATTTCTTAAGGCCACTGGGCCTCCTAGGGTCCAGACATTGAAAGCAGAATGTTTTGGGATGTCTCAGTGCTGGCTGACAAGGCTCTTCACTGTACAGTACTTTACACAACACAGGCAAGAGGTGGCTAGTTCATGGAGGGAGGTCAGAGTGGATTGTGCAGCAGCTGGAGTTAGAGAGAGTGAGGTACACTTCAAAACATAAACAACAAGGGAAAAGATGCCACATGGTTTATTTGTCTTTGACTTCAGGCTGAACGATCTTTACAGCAACCAACAAATATGTGAAAATAATACACAACAGAATAAAATATATATACTGTATAGTGTACCACCAATCAGCAGCAAACTGGAACTATATAGTACCTGTAAATAATGTTCGCTTCCTAAACTTTCTGAAGTTTACAGGCTTATCCTGTTGTGAAAGTGCTCTCTGGGAATTTGCTTGCCCAACATCAACCCAGAAGGTTTGACATCTAACGCAGCAAAAATAAGAGAAACACCAGCAAATGAATTAAAAATAACTCTACTAATATACAGTCATTCAGTATAACTCTCTACTAATACACAGTAAATCTTTCCAGATCTCAGTTTAACGCTGTCAACATCTAGCACCATCTGCTACGATCATCTCTAGCAAAAAAAGCCTCAAGATCTGAAGGGTTGTCTTGTGCTCTTTTAACAGTTAAAAAAGGAAAAACTTGATTAACATAATCATAATTTTCACTTGTGTCTGGAAAATGTTAACTGTATGTAACGTGAACACTGAACATAGTTGCGAATACAATTGAAAATTAAAAACATGAGGTTTCTGGAATAGTCAGTCTCTTTTTTTCCAAATTCCTTCATACAGAGAATACTATAATCCAGTTACACTTGTCAGTGGAGTCAGTGTTTATATAATTGGGATTGGAAAAAAAACATAATTCTACTAGAAACTTCAGGTAATTTATGCATTAACTGCATAGGCAAAAGAAAGGAGGAATATATACTCTTGATCTGTTTTTATCAACAGTGGCACCTCATTGGTAATCAAACCATATCCAAACCTTTACTTCTCGATTGGTCAACTAATAATACATTTTATACATTATACTGCATTGGTAAGAAAACACTTTTACTGGGATCTGCTGTCACGCTGGCACGGTCTTCTGTACCATCTGAGAGAAGCCCAGGGTGGCCTCCGGAGGGGACACAGGTCTGTTTCCAAAAAACATTGGCCCAGGCCGTACAGCTCTAAGTTGCTGCAGACGGGTTGCTTCTCCAGAAACCTTGCTGGGCAGAAACAGAAGCGAGCACCCATGCAGCTCGGCTTTCCCACAACACGCGTCTTTCTGTCTTTTAAAGAACACATTGCCACTAACATTGGTGCTCTGACTGCTGAAGGTCCACTCGGTCAGTCTTTTTCAAAATAAATATTTTTCCCCCGTCCCCCGTGTTCAACACTGAAAGAGACGCAGTGCAGGACAAAATCAAACGAAACCGCAGCTGAACGACAGTAACACTGAGAAGCAGTAAAAGCTACCAGACTGAATATCAGCCTTCAGAATGGAACCATTCTGGAACCTGAGTCGGGTGTGTTCTCAGGAAGCACAACAGACGGGCGCTGACGTACGGTACACTGGCCGCGTCTTGTCACCGAGACCGGCGCGCCGGCTCAAGACTCAAACTCAAACTGTGCTCCCCTGGCCGTTGGCAAAAAAAAAACCCAGAATAAATAAAAGACCTGCCCTTGTTTTCCGCGGAGAGAAAAGAAACGGCAGACGCCTCAAAGTCACAACCATAAAAACTCAAAAGAGGAAGAGGTGATGGGGAGCAGTTCCAAAATTAAAAGCTGCACCTTGCCCTTGTCGACAGGCATGACCAGGATATGCCCACTGACATCCGGACGGAGAGATTCCTGTACAAGCAGTTGTGAATGGGTGGTGCGGACCATTAAAAACGCACGGTAAATCTTTGATGTTGACTCTGTGAATACATTCAAGCAAAAAGTGGAGGGCACCTCCTCCAGAGGTACATTTGGCACAAAAACCAGTATCTTCCAGTCTTCTTATTTATATTAGTTTTATACGTTTTTTTAGACTCAGCTTTTCTGTTATTCTTGTCGCTGGATATCCCCCAATTCCGCTCTAATAGTTCAAAAAGAAAGAATGTTTTACGGGAGGAATTCTGTAGTGTAAATCACATCCTCCAAAACGGCCTTTTCTGTCTTAAAGGCACATGCCAGTTCAAACAGGGTGACCTTCTATCCCCCGGGGCGGTGAGGAAGAGAAGAGAGGGCTGTGCACTGCTTCAGAGCTCACAGGACCTCGATCACAGCCGCACTCTGCCGTCCGGTCTCTCTCCGTCTCCCAGCACGCCCCCTAAACGCCGGAGTCCGACGGGAACAGGGCTTCCAGCGGGGGCTTCAGATCCCATTCGTCATGTCTGTGATGACCTTCGCCTTCACCAGCTTGCGGAGAAACTCCTTCTCCTTTGAAATGTTGTGTGTCCAGGACTGTGTTTAGAGAATAAAAAGAAAAAAAAAAAGAGGAGAATTAAAAGAATGAAGTTCAGTTGGTGGGAAGACCTGTGCAGCAGCAGCACACAAGCACCATAAGCCATTGTATGTGACCCACTAAACCCTGGGGAATAAAAACAGGTCAAGCAACAAATGCGTGCAGAGATATTCTTTTATGCGACGCTTATTGATGTAAACAACATCGCACATTATCTACGTTTCAAGCTGAACATGTTGCTAGTGCTCCTTTGATCACATAATTCCAGATCTTCCTAGTGGCAGTGACAGTAAGAGACAAAACCCGCATTAAGGGATCACCCTAGAGTCAACAAACCACTGCAGAGACCATTGAGCCATTCAAACAAAGCCCCTGCTGGTAACTCAAGGGTTTATAGAACACCACAGTGAAAGCAGAGGATATGGAATAAAGCAGGATTACCTGACAATGATACAGGGAACACTGTGCTCAGTCGCAGAGTAGGGAAAACTTTTGTGACTGAGTCAATTCAAAGGAATAGAGACAGGTTTAAAAAAATAATTCAAAAGACCCAAGGATGAATTTTCACCGGCTGTTGTGCCACAGACAAATGCCTGAAACCACAAAAACACGACAGTCTGTCCTATTGGAATAGTACCTTTGGAATTCAAAGGCTTCATGTTGTCTGCATGGTGCTGAAGGGTTCCATGAGCTAAGCTTGGTTTAGATTCCATAACATTACTACATACGCCTGTGAGCTTCATCTATCATGAGCGGCTTGCAACTGCTTTTCAAGATGCTGTTGCTGAAGGACAGACTGCAGACAGGACACACTGCTGGACACTGAGCTGGGCATAGTGTGTTCTTCTGCCTGCACCTCATCTGGTAAGAAATCTGCCTGCCTTACGACAGATTTTGCTCAATCGTGTCCAACGTCTGTCATACAAGTTGACAATATGAACCGAAGCTCAGACCAGTACAGGGAGTTTTTTTTTTTTTACCGTACAGTTCACCATTTCTAGACGGTAACAAATTCATGTGGGAAAAGAACTAAGATCACTGTGAGGTTGTAAGGAGAAATTAATTACGCAAAGAAACCGAAAGAATAATAAAGAACTAATAAAGATGTCCAGTAAAAAAGTCTAAGTGACAAACTGCTCACAAGCTTCCAAGGACTTGTAATACAGCAGCAAAATAAGGAAATGTGTATGATTTAAACTATGTCACCCTAAAGCACTTCAGGAGCATTTGGATGCTAAATTAATTTTTTTCTTTTGAAACTTAAGTCCCAGTGGAGCTGTTCCAGGTTAATTTCTGGGCCAGCTCTGTCACGCTGATTTCACGGGCGTGTGAGGAACGAGCCTCCTCCGTGTGTCACAGCTGCTGAGAAATCACTCAATCTCAGCGCTGAGGCCTTGAGCACCAGCCTGCAGGAGATCTGTCAGCAGGGGATGCTTCTTTGCTTTTTAACACGCTGTGACACTGAAACAGGCTTCCAGCGGGCAGCTGGGTCATGACACACCAGCCAGCCCTGAAACAGGACTCTCCTGAGCTATGTTAAGAGAGCGCAAGTGTAAATGCTAAGACGGGGAGAGCAAGGAAATGCCTTTGCGCAAGGAGAAGCTGAATGATGATGAAAAACGTGCGCAACGCGTCTGCTTTCTGGGTTGATTTGTAAAAATTCCTTCCAGGAATGAAGGAGCAACCTCTCTTCCTACTCTGCCTGACGTGGGGGGTGGGGGGAGAGGTTACCAGAGGGAGGGAGGGCGGCAGAAATGTTAATTTCCTTGACGCTAACATAGCAAATCACACTCAGCTGGGACCCGTCTGTCTGTCCGCAGGTTTCGGTGCTCGTTTAATTATCTCCCCCCTCCTGCTC